TTTCTCTTTCACAAAACCCTGCTGGTTGGCTACAAAGAGCCTGACAGATGTTCTGAAGTGAGCATTTAGTCAGAGAGCGGGAAACAGTCTATATGCTGATTGTGGTTTATTATCACTCTCTCTCTCTCTCTCCTTTTTAGACAAGTTCAGTTCATATAGAAAGGATTTTTGTGTTTAAAAATTGTGTGATGAAGTACAGTGTTGTTATGCGTTTAAAAGTTGGAATCTTCTGTTCCATCTGTTCTTTTAATTTGACAACAGTTTAAAAATTCAGCGTTCAAGCATGAGCAAGAAGCGTTTGTGTAGAAAACAATTAAAGCAATGGATCCTCTGCAGTGAATGGGTGCCGTCAGAATGAGAGTCCAAACAGCTGATAAAAACATTACAATATTCTGAATCCACAAGTAATCCACATGACTCCAATCCATCAGTTAATGTTTTAATGCTAAATTTCTAATTTAAATTCATCTACATCTTGGATGGCCTGAGGATGAATACATTTTTGCCAAATTTTCATTTTTTGGAGAACTATTCCTTTAAAGAATAGAGCAATGGAACGAAAAAACCCTCTTATTATTGTGTTATATTATTTATTAAGACATTACAAATATGGTAAAAATGTAAAGCGGTAAATTTAAGGCGACAAACAACCAGGGGTGTGAAGTAATGAATTACAAATACTCACGTTACAGTAATTAAGTAGTTTTTATCAGTAATTGTACTTTTTTGAGTAGTTTAAAAATCGCGCTGCCTCGTCTCTCTCTCGCGTGCGTTCTGCAGCAGTCACTTGGATAAGTCATTGTTGCTTGTTGAACTTGACTTTTGATGAGTTTGAGCTGCGTATATTTTTTCAGTACTCTTTCCACCACTGCAAACAACACAACATATTATGCTTCATCAGTATTTAACCCGGGGAAATAAAAAAATGAAGATGCATGAAAAAAAATAAAATTTCTTCAGTTCATTATAGTTTGAGAACACTGCTGTCCAGCTTCAAAGGATACTAAAATCATTGTCATCATCATCATTTTGTCACATTGGAACGTCAAATGAACGTAAAAGTCAATGAACTCCATTGTTTGTTGGTTACCAAGTTTTTTTCAAGCTTAAATTTATCCAATCCAAAATTCAATTTAATCACGTGGCTCATACTTGGAACCACATGAGGGTGAGTAAATGTTAAAATAAGTTTTAGATTTGGGTGGACTTTACCTGGTTATTCCATGACTTTTTCAATTTTTTAATTTTTCAGCCGTTCAATTTTCTGGTGTCCTTAGGGTCATTGTCCTGTTCTATAACTAATTTCAGCCAAGCTTTAGATGTTAGACAGATGACCTCAAATTTGTCCCTAGAATACTCATTATACAGAGGAGTTCATGGTGGACTCAATGACTGGAAGCTGTCCAGATCCTGTGGCTGCAAAACAAGCCTAAATCATCACCCCCCACCAATATGCAAGATATCTCATCATACGTTTTGGTGCTTTTTAATGATACATTTTGTTAGGGTTGTGCTGAAAATGGCATTGTGCATTATGCCCAAACACCTTCACTTTGGTCTCTCCTATGCAAATGACATACTATTTCCATCACTTTGTATCTTTAGCTGCAAACCCATGGAAATAATATTCCATCAAAATTCCAGCAATTTCATACACACACCTGGACAGAATGGAAAACATACACTGCATGTCCTATAAAACAGTATTTTGACAGAAGATCATTAAATAAAAATGAGAAAACAGGGCTGAACCAGATCACAATCGTCAAATATCTAGTAAATGCAAAGCAATATTTAGGATTCAGCCTTTAAATTCAGCTCATGTTCTCTCTGTTCATTGTACAGTGTTATCACAGTATCATCAGACATTAACATTCTCATAATGTTTATTTAATCAAATCAATACCAGAGAGCTGCATAATTTCATATGTACAATGGCATGTTTATCCACACTGTTGCCAACTAAAATGTTTCAGGAATGATAAACGGAAAGACAGCCCAGTGAGAAATGGATTCTTTATTAGATTTTATGACTATTTTATTATTTTAATGACCACAGCACCACTCTGTGGTAGCATCCTCAATGTCATGTACAACTGTTTTAAGAGGTGGACAAATATAATAAAACAGGTGGAATTTGAGAAATGTAACCCAAAAGTTAAAAGTCAGATCTAATATTGTTATGGGTCAAACACAGAAGGTAATGTTTTAATATATTTGTCCTTTGTCCTTTGGCTGAGAGTCTTTTGCAGTAAGGTAAAACGTTATTTGCCAGTCGAACACTATAGCATAACAACTATCACACAGACTACATTTATGGAGTTTAATCTGTCTCTTTTTTATTCAATCAAACATAGGCCTACTTTGTTACCGCACCATCAGAGCTTTATTAACAAAATGTATGAGAAATGCTTACAAATGACAGTCCTGTGCTCTGGTATATAATGTTATTTATTTTGTTGAAATGTACTTTTTAAAATGGCAGTCCCTGGCTGCTAGACATGCTGCTACAGCAGCAGCTGCTGGAGATGCCGATATCACCACCTAGACGGGCTTAGCTAACGTTACGTATTTAGATGGGAGAGCATAAGAAGATAGAATAATTAAGTTAACTTGGCCCTGAGTTTAAGATGTTAAAGGTACGATGCTTGCATTGCCTTGGCCGGGAATGAGCGTACGGATGCAGTCTCGGATGAAAGTCTTGATGGTTTGGAGGTTCGGTGGTGTAGGAGTCGCGATCACCTTCTTCCGGGTTCGAAGAGTGATGAACTCCAAAGAAGTTCTGACTCGATGGTGATTGGGAGTTTCTTCCCAGTGGAAAGTGAAAAAGAGCTAAGAGAGACATCAGCTGAGATCCTAGGATCTATGGTGAATGGAAAGTCAAGGCCCCAGGCCTGGCGCAGACTTAGGGTGTCCTTAGAGGGGTGCTAGCTCACATTCTCATCTTCTCAGAATTTAACAGAACCGCAGACTGACCACCTATGTGCTGGAACCCACTGGGCACGCCCGCACCGGCTCAAGCTCTCTACATGGGCAGCAATCAGAAGGTTTTAGCAGAAGACTTAGCAGAAGAAGAAAAAAAAACATGGGAGGAACTGTGCGTGAGCCTTTTAAGGTCCGAGAAGATTCACGCCTCTCAGGATGGGCTTGTCCAATGAGAAAGGCTGAAATTCCAAGCGGGAGGTTGGAAATACTGGGGAGTTTTATGACCCTTTGTGTGAGAACATGGTAATTTTTGCATATGGAACTCGATTGGGTGTTGATGCAAAATTGCTAAAGATTCTTAGAACACTAATATATTGCCTATGTACCCACATATAATATAAATGCTCATTTACATCATCACAAAACAAATTCAAAGAGACCAAACATGGTATCTTTGGGGTTATATTAACTAGTGATCTATCATAACACACAAAACAGTATGCAATTCAAAATACAATATACAAGAACAGTAATGGTATACACAATGTCCTGAGGAGATGAGTTCATTCACAGAAATGTTCTCCTATGAATTAGAGGGGTCCATTTTTATGGGCATTGTGTGTCTTTCCTAAGGGTAAATTAATTGGGAGTTGTGCTCTGCCTGCATTCCTTTGGGCAATAAAACCAGTGACATCAGCATTGGTTGCCATGGAACCAGAGGCCTGTTCTGCCTTTCTGAGGTGTTATGGCGCGGCACAGTTTACGTTTTCACTGCAGTTCAGTACCGCTTTAGAGTGGACGGGATTATTCACATGTCGTTATAGTTGCGCCGCCTCTACTACCACGTTTTGGTTGTTAAAAAAGGTGCGCTCATTCAAAACAGTTGCGTTCGATCCTTCGCTGGCTGTGTGGACTTAAATCTAACGGTTCTGTTGTGTTTGTCGCAAGTTCAGTGACTATTCTCTCCGGCCAATCTGTGATCAGCAGAGTTCACACGTCACGTTTTGGTAACGGTATGGTTCACTTGGAACCCCAACCGAGGTGGTACAAAAAATAAAAAAAAAGTACCAGGTACCGTACCCAGTGGAAAACCCCCAAAACATGAACCGTACTGTGCCATGCAGTGGAAAAGCGCCATTAGATTAATTTCGGGTGAAGGGTCCATAGACCCTCATAATCGGTTTGTTGAGGGGTGTTACAGAGTATTGGTTTAAAAATATATATATATATATAAAAAACAAGTCTGATTGGTGCAGATGCTACACATTACAATAATGCAACTTTGAGGTCATGAAAACTAACATTTCTGCATTTTAAATTGAGAGCGTAGGTCATAACTGAATATTAAAACAGGGGGAAAAAATAAATTCACAAAAGATTGCCATCAAATAGCACACCCCGGTTCCCAATTAACGACAGATTTAAAAACAGCCAGCAAGTTGGTGTTGTAAGTTATTACATGGGAGATTTTAGGTCAAATTACCCATTTCTTCATACTTTAGCAGCAGGAAATGACTAGTCATCACATGCATTCCTGTAGCCTGAACACTATAGGACGTCAACTTTCCCTCAAATACAATTTTACACAGATAAATATTGTCTTCAAAAACTTGAATGCAAGTACATTTTGCAAGAGTTTGCTTTCGCGGCCCCAAAAAGCCATTGGCATATAAACAAACCGCTTTCCATTTTTCAAAAAAAAAAAATAGTGCCATGTTAATACACACTTAGTCAATGCATAAGTCACTAACACACAAACAGAAAGTGCCACCATTTAAACCCTTTGGCACACTAAACCAAAGGTTTGTAGGAGAGCAGTTTAAACCATACATGGCACCTTTAACGGTCACAGCAACCAAGCCAGCAAGAGTTCCACCATCGTTTAAGTAGCATTTAAATATGGAGGAAAAAAAAAAGCTGCTTTGTCAAATTATTGGAGGTTCAATTATGGAAGACATGCATCATGTGGCAGTTTACCAGAGTCTTTTAGCCCTTGACGGAGTAGAAGTGACTCGCGGCAGAGCTGCGGGATGGTTGAGCAGGAGCATTCTGGTTATTCACTGAACTGTGGCTACTCAAGACCTCCTAGATGTACATTGACCAGCAACACTTGGAACATAGGGCAGAAGCTGGGACCCAGGGGTATACGTTGTAGAGAGGCTTTGAGACTGGAAAGAGCCACCATAACGGGTGCTACCACCCGGTGCAGAAACTCTTGAAGATGAGCCTCTTGCAGATGACAGGGAATATAACTGCATTGGAGAGCTTTGAGATGAAGAGCTACCCTGTGATGCAGCGGCATCTGAGGTCTGAATAACTGGTGTCCAACAGGCAGCTGAAAGCTGCCATCTTTGAGACTTCTGGCTTTGGGACACAGAATGGCCTTGATATGCCCGGCTGGACTGACTAGCAACACCTTGGGGTAAGAATGACACACTTGCATATGGGAATGAAGACCCAGGGACAAACTGACTAGCAGCATCTCGAGGCTGATGTGATCCAACATAAGCAGTGCTTCCGTGCAGGGTGAAGGGAGTAGATCCTGTCTGGGTGCCAGAGCTGCCCTGATAGGCAGAGGTAAGCTGCTTCCGAGAACCCTGAACAGTAGTAAATGGACCAGCTTGGGGTGAAGACTGTGATAAACCTGGATATGAGGATGGAGACCCAGGGGCAAACTGGCCAGTGGTACCTTGAGACTGGACAGAACCTCTGCAAGAGCTGCTCATTCCCTCTGAGGCAAAACCAGTAGAGCCCCCAAACTGAGCCCTAGAGCCGCCCTGGTAGGCAGAGGTAAGCTGCTTCCGAGAACCCTGAACAGTAGATGGACCAGCTTGGGGTGAGGACAGTGATACACTTGCATAGGACTGAGACCCAGGGGCAGAGTGACGAGATCCACAAAGTATCACTGGAGGATTGGCCAGAAACACCAAGCTTACCAGGATAGCTACAACTCTCTCCTAGGGTAGAAACAACTTGTCCTAAACCACTTGCAGTGTATTGGGTCTCCAAACTTAATCCACCAGCAACACCTGGAATGGTTGATCCAGAGGATGCCAAACTTCTTGATGGCTGTTGATTCAGGGACAAAGGCAAGGAAGCTGAGACAGAGCTGCTTGGAGCAGTTTGGCCATGGGATGTTGACTGATAGCTGCTGGAACCACCTTTGACAAACTGAAGTGGATTCAACTTAGACTTGCTTTTCAGTGGTTTGTTAGGGAACAAACTGGAGCCCACTTCTTCAACAGCCAAAATCCCAGTCAAATGGACCTCTGACATAGAAGACTGGACGTGGTGAGAACACATCAGAAGGCTGACCCCACCCATGATGGGCACTGGAATAAACTCCACCTATAGAATTAAACAAAACAGAAGACTTTTGTACACAAGTCCCCTTTATCCTTGAAATAAAGGGAGGGGCACAAACTCACCTTTAAATCCATCAGCATTCCTCCAAAATAACAAGAGGATTACTAGCAAGTGTAACCTAAGTGCACCGTCATTCTCAAACACCGATTGAACGAACAAACTCACCTTTTCCACCTTTGATCCATGACAAAAAAACACAAATACTCCAAAAACCCAATGTTCACATTCTCAAACCACCACACAAAATCAACAAATACAAGCATACATGCATCTGTAGGTGAGTGTATTTTATAGGCCTTCACCAGTCCAATTAGAGCAAACGACTAATTATATGAAATATTGTTCACCTGGGAAACTGGTCGTTAAAAGATAATTGATGATTGTTTTGTGAAGGCTCTGATACCCTCTGCAGTTTAAACCTTATAAAGCAGCTAATTAATCCCAGAACATTACTTTCACAGTGTAAGATATCCTCATACACCTTATACAAAATATACCACATCATATTATATAAAAAATTGTTAATTGGACTATGTGCTAATTGTATTACTTTTATCAAGCTAATTTTGATATTAAAATCAGTTTGCAATTAATTATACCTTTGTCTATTTTGTTATTTTTTATTTAATTTATTTATTTTGTACTTTTTTGCTCAGTACTTTCTTTTTCAAATATGTTGCATGGATTTGACAGAGTTATGCTAAATTATGTGGAGATTAAAAACAATCCTATACCTTTTGTTATTGTCTGAGGCCTCATCCACACAGAGACACATTTAGCTGTATATGTAAACATTTTGTATCACCTAATAATGGCGAGGCAGCAGAGTACATTGCAGAGTGCTTTAATAGGAACCTGATAAAGTCAGCAGATCAACCAGTGTTCATACTGGGGAAATTTAATACTCTTTCATTAAGAGAGACTCTTTCGAACCTGCAGCAATATATTGATTGCTCAACCATTTTCTCATGCACATTAGATCTGTGTTATGGTAACATTGAGGATGCATATAGGGCAATATGTAGAGCACCCATTGGCAGATTGGTTCATAAGGTGATCCATTTACTGTCAAAATACAGACAACGTGTTAGAAATGAGATACCGGTGGAAAAAGAAAATCCAGGTTTGGAGCAAGGATAAAGAGAACATGTTATAGGATTGTTTTTGCACTACAAACTGGGATGTTTTCTTTGATTCATGCAGAGACCCTCATGAATTATCAGACTGTATCACTTATTTTATTAAATTCTGTGAAGAGACTGTTATTGATACTAAAGAGGTTAAAATCTTTTCAAATAACAAGCCATGGTTTATTAAAGATCTGAAGAAATACCTAATGAGAAAAACCCAGCCTTTCGTGATAACGATTTTGAGGGTTTTGAGATGAAAAGAAAGGAATTAATGGCTATGATTCAAAAAGCAAAAATGTATTTTAAAAGTAAGGTAGAGGATCAGTTAGCAAATCATGATGCAAGGAGTGCTTGGCAAGATTTAAATAAGATGATGGGGCTTGACTTAAAAGGTGTAAATAATGATATTATAGACAGATATTTTAAAATGGGTTAATGATTTAAACATGTTTTACGGAAGATATGATGTAGTTGGTAACAGAGATAAGGTTGAAGAAACTGGTGCCAGGATTCCTGTGGGTTCACCTATTTGCTTGATAGGCGAACACACTAGAATGTGTCTTAAGCAAATCAGGTGCTGTAACGTGCCAGATCCAGATGGCCTTAAGGGCCACGTTTTAAAGGATTGTGCGGATTAATTAAATGACACTTGAACAAAATTTCAGTTTTTATTAAACTCTCAGATAAACTCTCCTAATATGTGGAAATTGGCCCATTCCTAAAAAAGTGGAGCGAAAAAAATAGAAAACTTTTGCCCCGTAGCCTGACCTCGACATCATTAGTTATCACCTTAAATCGTACATATCAGAGCACCTAGATGTATTGAAATGTGCATATAAGCCACAAAGAGGGACAGAGGATGCTACACTCATTATGGTCGATACAACTGCTACTCATTTACAACAAGCAAAGGCCTATGCATGTGTTCTTTTCACTGATTTAAAGGTCCCATATTATCAAAAAAGAAATTTCCTGGCTTTTTTCATGATAACTGATGTCTAGGTGCTATGTAACTACAATATAAGTTTCAAAACAGTCAGTCCACAGTAAAATTCACACAGCCTGCTTTAAAGTAGTTGTGATTTGTCACCAACCATTGTGACTTCCGTAAAAAGTTGACGTCAGAACTACACAGTCACTGCCTTCAGTCACCACCCCGAGCACCGCCAACAGTCCCACTCTCCTAATGCCAAACCACCAGACAACTTTGTGGAAACATGTCGAAAAGGTTAACTTTAACCACGAAACCAGATCGGCCGAGCAGTAATGTTACACTCTCACTCAGCGGATGGACGATCTGACAGGATTGTTACTATGAGGTGGATCACATCTAACGTGTATAGTAAAGACAAACTCACCGTGTCTATCTAGTCATGATGAAGATGCATATAAATTTAAATTTCAGCAGGCAACTATTTTTACAGCTACATTGTTCCAGCCACAATTAATCACAACAATGTATATACAATTACAAATGATTATATATAAATTGTCAGTTTGTTGTTTTACACACATGCACACAGACATTATTTCATACACGACATAGTCGTGAGATGCAAGAAACATAGACATATGGCAAGAAATCTGTAGACGCGCCCATAACAACAAAAGACAATACTTTATTGAACTTTTTCTGATAAGAAGTGTACGCTGCAAATGAAATGTTTTCGATTTGAATCCCATTTCCTGCATGTTCATACATTTAGGGACTATGGTGATACAAAATCCAGGAAATAATTAAGTTGATTAATGATCAATTCTGCCAAAAAGAATAGTAGGCTACTAAACTATGTATAAGAAAAAGATGTCTTTCTTTCTTTCTTGTTTAATAGGGGCCGATCGCCAAGACTTGAGAGAATAATTTTATAAAGTCGAAAATGTTCACCATTAATGTTTTGAATAATGTTTAAATAATGTGAGACTCAATTTCCACTGTTAAGCAAACTTTTATTTCAAACTAACCGCTGTACCTGAAAATATAAAATAAATCACTTGTTGCACAGAACAGAATGTTCTACATCAGTGGTTCCCAGACTTTTTAGAGTGGAGTAGCCTACCCCCCCGAGGCATTTCTGTGTACCCCCTCTACCACTTATTAATTAGACTGCACTTTTTCCATTAAAGGACAATATTTACCCCCTAAATTGACTTTCCAATGCATTTTTTCATCTTCATAAATAGAATATTAATGTTAAAAAAAAAAAGTTCAATAGATTAATATGCAATAATAAAAAGTGA